CAATCCTTTCCTCAGATCCATCATAAAGAGTCCAACAAGCTCAGCATATTCTAGTCATTTTTATCTTTCACCTGAATGGCCAGTATTCTCTACTAGTTAAAGATAACCAACATCTCTTTGGTAGGGCAGCAAAGAGCAGAGTTCTGGTGGACAGACTAATAGGATTTAAGTTAAGTGGAAACTTGCATTTGATCCAAGGGACAAAAGTGTATATAATCTGTTAGTAGAATGTTCTCGCAAACACTCATAACAAAACTCTTTAAATATTACACTTATTACTTATTAAATTGAATCTGATGTACGATGGCTTTAAACTCCTGCCTGCATTAGTCCCAAATAAAGCTGGTCTGCATAAGTAGAATAGAACCGCCTGATGGAATTTAAGGACTGATAGCAAAGTTTCTCAGAATAAAGTGAGTAAGCTCAACGGAGCCATTGTATTTTATTATCTCGTCACTCAAAAGGTGTTCTTAACACAATTAATTGCACCTTCGGATTCAAAACCGGGTCGGGCCAACTCAGCTGACTCGTTGTTATTAAAAAAATAACTGATAATTTCGAAACCTACTCGAAGATAAAATAAGTTTCCCGGATAGATAGATGTTTGATTGTGCAGATGAAATTATTTTATCTTTATAGTTCTCCCTAATAAATTAACCAATACCTCATACCACAAACCAATTGGATGAAAAGTGTTCGTAAAATGTCGGAAATGGCAAAAGGAAGAGCAATTTGAAGTACCCATTTTACAATCCAGAAAGTATATTTTAACTGGTGGTTAAACAATTGAGTTTAAACAGGATGGTCTGGCGCTGTCAAGTAAATAATTGTTGCTATGTCTGATTGATTATTAGAAAAGTAAAAGTGCCCTTAAGAAGGAAAATATGATGGCGTCAAGGCATTCCAAAAAAACTACGAACATGTTATCAGGCGAGAAGCAGGCAATTGCGAAGACCTTTCTCGGGGAGTTGATGATCGTCATGAAAACCAACTTCATAAACAAGAATCTATTTCTTGTCAACTTCAAAAAGACACTTAACGGACGAAATTAAGGGGATGTAGGCGGATAGGCAATAAAAACTAAGCGAAAGCTTGCAAGAAGAAGGTAATCCCGAAGAAACCTAGCCAGACATTAGTTGAAAGTAGTTGTTTGACATTGTTTTCGCAACTTGGTCATATTGGCAGGAAGACTTAGAGGAACGGAGTCAATTATAAGCATAATCATTTCCATAGTAGGACCGTGGACATGGTACATTCCCAGACGTTTCACCGGCAGCGTAGTCAGCATCATCAATGAGTCTCGCCATTCTTAGCACCATTCCACAACTCGTCAGAGACAAGTAAAGCCGATCCTTCGACCAAATGTCCTACTCTGGAAATGATGATGCATACAATGGACTCCGGAGAAGGTGCGTTCCTCTAGGTCTTCCCAACAATATGACCGAGGTGAAACAACTTCTATACAACGAAAGGAGACTGCGACCACACAAAATACCACACCATCTTGGTATTCATACCTTCGATTAGCTAAAAGTGTTCATTGAGGAAAAAAGAGGTGGAGAGCAAATGGCAATCTATCAGATATTCTTAAAGAATATCGTCTGATCTGGTAGCAAAGTCATTATTATGAGCAATAAGAGATAGATCCAAGATAAAAGCATTCAAAGCTATATAAAGTCCAACAGGAGACTGCCTAGCAAATATCTTCTGCTCGGATGGGCAAGCGAAATTCTGCAAATAATTGCACAGGATATCATAATGTCATGCTCGAACAGCATGTCACACCTGAATTTTCCTGAGGCCAACCTCATAATATAAGGTAGTGGGTGTCGCTTTGCGGATGCGATGAAAAACCTAATTGTGAGACTCATGCTGAACGTTGAAAAGGAAGGTCATAGAAAGAAATGTCATAGGACCAAATCAAAATCTTTCTAACATATTCTTTAAAAAATGCTCATAAACTTTAATACGAATGATTGCATACCCTTAGCAGTAGAAATGGGCAGAATCGTAAATGCATTTTAGCGATAGTAACAACAAAATAAAGCGGAATGATATATCTCTTGGGCAAACAGTGTTGTGATGGTTTTCGTTTCATGTAGAGGTACTTGATAACAAGATTCATAGATCGACATCATCAAAAGATGGCAAACGACAGCGCTTGTCCTGTAGTCATTGGACTCTAGCATGACGCTAAGGCTGACGCAATCCCCGAGACATCCTCTTTCGATTCGGGTGACATTGGATGAACAATCGACATTATCTGAGCAAGCGCTTCAAGTTAACGCCAAGTGAAAAAGATACTCGGCTCCACACTATCTTCGATATATGCCCCAACATAAGGCGAAACTATATGCAAAAATAAAACAATCAAGATATATAATCATATGGTTAGCTCTTTTTCATGCTGTGCTTGGGTGTGTATGTACATTTGTGTCTGCATACACTTGAGTCGGAGCACGAAACAGCGGTTAGAACATTGAATAATTACAGCAGGGCCTAACATTAGTCCTGGGTTATCAGGATATAATCATACAGCGAAAAGCATGACGGGGATTGTGTACGCTCGAACATTAATCTGGTTGTGATGATGAGTTGTGAACCTGTACATGTGCCTCCCCTTAGGCCATTGAATACTGATAAATCTGGAATTACAATTTATGGCTAGTGGTTTCGTATAGTAACTTAAAAGCGTGCATGCACAAATATACACACACAAGTATTGTAACATTAAAAAAAACTATCTATATAATCTCGCCTATATAATCAGTAAATATAGCATGTAAGATAGAGCCAGCTACTCTTCCTATCTTGGCGTTCCTCTAAAGCTTCTGCAAGAATGAGTGCCAGTTGTGATGATGGTCGCTATATTCGGGACGATTGCTCAACTCATTTTCTTAGAACCGAGGGATGATGTCTAATGGGCTATGTCAACTTGAAAGTTGTAGTAGAATCTAACGATTGCAGAACATCCTTTGGTGAGATTAATTTATGAATCACTTCGTCAAATACTTTTACATGGAATGAAGTGCATTGCATCAATGAGCATCACTCGTCAATTGATTTAGAGAAGACATTCTCGTTAAAAATAGCACTTATAATTATATCAGAGAAAATCGTCATGAGTCTGCTATAATGCATAGAAAAATGGCCTATTAGGCAGTAGCTATACATTCAAATGTAAACAGATGCAGCGGAGGTTAATAATCCTAAAGTCAGTGAAAAGTTTTATGGGTAAAGGAAATGGGAGGTCAAATTAAAATCCGAAGAAAAATATCAAGTCAAAATGGTTAATGATAGATACAAAAACTGTGTCAGGTGGAAAGCGATAAAAAAGAAATATAAAATAAATTTTGTATCATATCGATAAGGTAAGCATTAAACCTAAAAAAATGTGACCAAGGTATCATTGTCGAAACGGCAGCGATAGCAAAAGTGAAAAAATTGTATTACGATTAAAGAAGTTAATGTATTAAAAAGGAGAGAATAAAGTCTAAGAGTTATGTAATCGTGAGTTCAATGAAAGAGTCATATACACATAGAGGAAGTATCACAGTGTGTTAGAGAACAGGAATGGGAAAACATCTGTTATTAATCTTCATTCAAAAAACGTTCCAATTCATCTTCATCCAGTTTATTAAGTTGACCAGCAACGAGGTCCAGAGATATTGTTTCCTCTATGTTTCCGGTAAGATCGGACTCGATCGTTACAGGAATCAAAAGAGGAGCCAGGCCAACTTGAAGACGTTTTGCAGGCAAGTCGACATCGGAGCGATGATTCACTGTCTGGATTGGGACTGAGATAGGTTTAAAAGGTTGTGTAGAGGAGGGAGGAGAAGATTTTGGAGAGGAAGATGCGACTGAAGATGACGACGCAGAAGGAGGAATGTGAGTCGAAGAAGAAACAAGAAATTGCTCTCCTGAATATGGCCTGGGATAAGAGTCACGTAGTCTAGAGGGCTTTTTCACACGAGTGGCTGTGCAGATAGCTGCCTCATTAGACTCATGAGGATCGTATTGAAGTGTAGTAACGCAGCCCTGATTGGGTGGGTTTACTAAATGGCCAACTGAAGGTTTTAGCTTATTTTCGTGGGAAATCATTTTAGGAATTTGCCTTTTATTGGATTGTTTGGGGAATAGTGAAAAGAGCTGGGTAAAGATGAATGGAAAAATGAAATACAATGAAAGAGGATAATTAATCAGGTAGAAAAATGAAGGTCGCCACTATCTTAAATAAACATGTATCAAAACTATGAATAAATGTCGATTAAATATTCGAAGTACTCAAATGTCCTTGCATTGGAATGAATGGATCTAATAATGCCAATGAATTTTTGCATAGCATTGCCCCGCAAAGGGCCTTATCATCCGAAGTAGAGAGCAACTAAGTAGGATTAGGTATCAAGCAAATATGCCGATGAAAGGTAAGAAAAACTGAGGTTTCAAAGATATCGCACAATCAATGGGGCTAACCGCTTCGCCAGGTTTGTCTTAGAAATAAAAAAATGGCCCGAAAAGTGATAGTAAAATACAAACCCCAAGCATATGATGAATATTTGAGGCATTTAAAGAAATATTTCATAGAGCAAAGCACTTATTTTCTACATTTAGCAATGAAATATGTCAACTGACTAATGATATCACCAATACATATAAGCAAAATATTTATCCAATCGGCAAAATTCTAGCCCCTCACGAATTGTGGTTAACGAGCACAAGTTGGGCTTCAATTAATCTCTTGCTTGATAATTGTTGAGCTTACTTACATTTAAGGGAAAATGTCTGGTGAAGAGATTCGACGGTCAATTCCATGAGGAGACGACGGTGCATTCCTCTTGACCAGCTGTCAATTTACTTTAGTGGAACATTCATGCTGACACTGTTTCCAAGGCAATCTCCTTGGATTCCGGTGAAAACATGCTAAGCTTTCGTTAGTAATATGACGAACATCATCAGAACACGGCATCATCCTTACAACCGAATCCAAACTGACGAGTCAAAAAAACTCACAGACACATCCCGAAAAAACTGTATATATACTCTATATTTGGCCTCCTTGATGAGCTATAAAAGTAATTGATTAGTTTCAGACATTTGTCAACCTCAAAGCATATGAGTCTGTCTGTTCCTGTATGTGTATGTGTATGTGTCTGTATGTGTTCGCCTATGCACGAAACCATCAGTGATGGCTCAAAGTAATTAGGGCAGCAAAAGTAACGTCTGTTCTCGGTCACCAAGGTCTAATTACCACTATCTCCCCCTTTCTACACATATGCTATAACCACACATACGTCTGGCTATGTTGATGAGTCCTTGTGATCTTCATGTGAGAGAGAAAGAGTTGGCTAAAAGTACAGAGAAGCGAGACTTATTAAAACTAAGAGAAGCGGCTCAACATCCTCTCTGTCCTTGAGTCTATTAAGTAAGCACAAGTAATTTTTACTTTTCTCTTTCCCGCTAGTCTTTACGTTCAATGTATTCCCTATTCGGTTTATTTCGATGGCTTCTCTAATTTTTTCGCTTGGCCGCAGACATGCCATAATCAGCAAAACGACAAGTTTGAGACGATTCTGCCTTGCGCTCAGCCAACTCCAATTTTTGAGTCCGACAGCCTCTGCAGGCGTTTTTGTGCTCAGCCACCTTTTTTCAAATGGGACGAAAAGTCTTTCCAACATAAAAGCAACCACATCAACACAATATTTTGTAGCAACCCTATCTAGATAATGCATCAACTTTTTTTCTAGAAGCAGGCATAAGTGACGAAAGTGTCGTATTTTGCCTGAAAACGGTTTTTATTCCTTTCAGAGGAAATGCATGAAGGTAAAGACAAAACATGAGAAAAGGTCTCCTCGTCTCTCCTTGCGTATTCCCCATTTGAAAATCTATTCTTTATTAATCTAATGTTTCTTCCAATCAAATCTAGGAGATTGAATTGGTATCTATCGGCTAGTCTTACAATCCGAATAATCATAGATTTGAAAACGCTAACCTTTGTTTTGTAACTATGATTGGAAAAGAAACTAAGGATAAAGTCAGCATGTGTTGACTTTCTATATACATCCATGATTAACGTCTCTACCTCGATCTCCAGAGACTTGTCGTCCCATTCGACAAAAGGTGGCTGAGCACAAAAGCGCCTGCAAGGGCTGTTGGGTGTAAAAATCATAGCTAGCTGAGCACAGAAGAGAATAGTCTCAAAGTTGTCGTTTTGCTGATTATGGCATGTTTGCGGCCAAACGAAAAATTAGAAAACCATCAAAATAAACCAAATATGGAATACATTGAATGTAAGGACTACCGGCGAGGATAAAAGTAAAAATTACTTGTTCTTAATTAATAGACTCAAAGACAGAGAGGATGCTGAATCGCCTGCAAAAAGGAGGCAATTCAACTAGCATTTTCTTCTCTTTGTTTTAATCACTCTCGCTTCTCTGTACTTTTAGCCAACTCTTTCTCTCTCACATGAAGATCACAAGGACTCATCGACATAGCCAGACGTGTGTCCGACCTTGCGTACTCTGAGTGATGGTCATAACATGTATGTAGAAAGAGTGAGATAGTGGTCATCAGACCTTGGTCACCGAGAACAGACGTTACTTTTGTTGTGCTCATTACTTTGAGCCATCACTGCTGGTTTCGTGCATAGGCGAACACATACAGGAACAGACACACTCACATGCTTCGAGGTTGACAAATGTATATAACTAATCAAATCACTTTATACCTCATTAAGGAGGCCGAATATAGAGTATATATACAGCTTTTTCGAGATGTGCCTGTGAGTTTTCTTGACTCGTTAGTTTGGATTCGGTTGTAAGGATGATGCCGTGTTCTGATGATGCTCGTCACATTACAAACGAAAGCTTAGCATGTTTTCACCGGAATCCAAGGAGATTGCCTCGAAAACAATGTCAGCATGAATGTTCCAGTAAAGTAAATTTACAGCTGGTCAAGAGAATCTACCGTCGTCTCCTGGTGGAATTGACCTTCAGATCTCTTCATCAGACACTTTCACTCTAAATGTAAGTAAGCTCAACAAGTAATAAATCCAAAAGGTAGTCTTAACGACAGACACATACCTCAACCTTCTCCGTGTCTTTCTTTCCTTGCACTCTGTCCACTTCTTCTTCCTCATCTTCTGTATCGTCCTCCTCATAAACACATTCTCTATCATCTTCGTTACTACTATCTTCCTCTTCGCCCGTTACGAGGCATGGATTTTCAGCTTGCTTTAAATTCGGATCATTTGATTGGATTGGATTTTTCCCAGGCAGATCGGCAGCTACGGGAGATACAACCATTGAATTTCTTTTGAGTGCCAGGGAAGGGGGATTTACTGTTATAAGAAGGTCGGCAGGATCTACGTCTTCTTGGAAAATGGCAACTCGAGGATTACTTATACTGCAAATTCAAGTGCGAAAATTTCCGAACAGAGGTAATAAAAGAATTACACAAGTTAAAGAAGAAAAGAAAAAAAAGTTCATTTAACTATTGTAATTGATGGATGCAAGTTAAAAAATATAAAGTA